AGACGATTTCAAATAGGCGGTGTGAGAAGGTTGAAGGAATGATAATGCTGAATCAATTATAGGGAGAAAGGAAATTGTGTTAAGGTCCTTGCGGTTTGCGGTAGGGATAGATTTTGAGAGGATAGAATGCGAAAGTGACTTCTTATAACAGCCCAGACTGACCAAGATATTGTCCGCTTTGGGCCACAGGCCCGCACGGTTTTGTTTCTGGGTGCCGGCACAAGGTAGGCGCGTACCCTCCTTACACCTTGCCCAGACCACCCAAAAGGCCTCTTGACAGTCTAAGGTTTGTCCATACTTATGTACATCACTTGCATCTTGCACTTAACCGATGTGGGATTTGCCTAGGGTGTTACACTTCTTGCGAGAACGTTGGAGGAGGGACAAGATACCATGTCAAATGTGGAATTCAGCATGATTCGATTATAGTGGAACAGATTGCTTGAGCTAGAGGAAGTTAAAGCAATGCAAAGAGCAAAGGTCTTTTGGCTCCAATATGGGGACTAAAACAGTGTGCATTTTCATTCCTTTATTAAAGGTAGGCATGGCACAAACAAGATAAGAAGTTTAGAGATGCTTCGAATACGTGGGTGGAGGACGCATGACATATGTCAGATATGATAAGATCCTATTTTACTTAGCTTTACTCGTCTAGTGATTCGATTCCATCTAGAGTTACTAGACTTGCTAGAAATAGGATGAGCAAGGAGGATAATAGCTGTTAGTAGTTGCAGTTACCAGTTAAGAAATCAAGGAAGTGGTTTTTCAAATGTACCCCGATAAATCACCAAGTCCGAATGGTTTAAATCCAGTAGTTTTTTAAAAATTTTGGCATGTGGTTGGGGAGGATGTAGTTGATAGTTGCAATGAGTGGTTACAAAGAGGTATTTTTCCTAAGTCTTTAAATGAAACTCTTGTAGTCCTTTTTCTTAAAACTAATACCCTTGAGTTAGTTAAGGATTTTAAACCTATAGCTCTTTGCAATGTCCTATATAAAATTATTTTGAAGGCTTTAGCTAATAGGCTTAAGAGGGTTTTTCCCTCCCTTATCGCTTTAAATCAATATGTTTTTGTGTCGAACCAAAATATTCAAGATAATGTGCTTATTGCTTTTGAACTTATTCATAACATGAAAAGAAAAACTAAAGAAAGTGGGTGGAAGCAGCACTTAAAATAGATTTTCTAAAGCCTATAACAGAGTTAATTGGGGTTTTTGCAAAAAATGATGGAGGGACTGGGATTCTCAGAAAAAAGGATGGATGATGTATATTTCCTCTTGAAATATTCTATAATTTATAATGGAGATTTGATAGTCCTATTATTCCAAAGAGGGGGTTAAGTCAAGGAGATCCCTTATCTCCACATTTATTTATCCTGTCTTTAGAGGGTCTTTCTTTTTTATTTGAAGTAGTAGAGAGAAAAGGATGGATCCATGGGGTTCGGGTTGGGATTCGCTGTCTTCGAGTGTCTCATCTACTATTTGCGAATGACTCTTTCTTTTTCTTATAAGCCAATGATAGGGAGGGTAGGAGAGAAAAGAGTTTACGAGTGCATGAGGAGGCGTCTAGACAAGCAGCGAATTTTGATAAATCAAAAATTATGTTTAGTTTGAATGTGCCTATTAATGTTAAAAATTCTATTTCTAATCTTTTAGGGGTCCATAATTCCTTAAGAGATGGCAAGTACCTTGGGCTTCCTTCTTTAATAGATAAAAAGAAGAAAGGGGCATTCAATTGCTTAAAAGATAAGTTATAGGAAAGATTAATAATTGGAATAACAAATTATTGTCTAGAGCTCGGGAAGGAAATTTTATTGAAATCAATAGTTGAAGCCCTTCCTTCATATTCTATGAGTGTGTTATGCTGCCCCTATCTTTTTGTGAGGAATTCTAAAAAACAATAAACAAATACTGGTGGGGGAGGGGGGAAGAAAGGAGAGGAAGTATCCATTGGTTCTAAATGGATAGAATATGCCAAAGCAAAAGGGATGGACGTATGAGATTTAGGGATGTGGATTGTTTTAATATTGCTTTGCTAGAAAATTTGGGGTGGAACTTGTTAATTGCCTAAACACACTTCTTTTTCATGTGCTCAAAGCCAAATATTTTCCTATAGGGAACTTTTTGAATGCTTCTTTATGTAGCAATCCTATTTTTACTTGGAAGAGTCTTATTTCAACAAGAGACATATTGAAAAATTGGTATATTTGGAAAATTAGGAATAGTGAGAGGATTTTGGTAAATTCGGATCCTTGAATAGCTAAGCATGAGTCTTTTATGATTCAAGATGATATGAATTTTATCGATAATGCTATTAAGGTAAGGGAACTTATTGATCATGAAAAGGGAGAGTGGGAAGCTAATTATAGTATTGAACTATTTTGTGTGAGGGATATTGGTAGGACTAGGCAAAACCCGATTTGACTTGAGAAACCTGAACCGACCCAACCGAAAATATAGGATTATAATGAGTTTTTCGATTTAGGTTACGCAATTTGAGGGATGTATATCCCTTATTTGGTTCCGGTGGATCAATTAAATACCTTATTTAACCTGATCCGACCCAAGAAAAATGAAATATCAATTTCTTTTTTATTTCCTCATGGGACTTACATTCCTTTCTTTCTTCTTTTACTTGTAAAATTAAAAATCTCAAATCAAAATCAATTTTTCCTTAAAGATGGTATGTATTGTTTTTCTTGAGCAACTAAAATTATGATCAATTAGTTTATATTTTCATGTTTTTTTATTTCTATTATGTATGTTAAATACTTAATTAGGACTTTTTAATTTGCTATGGTTTGGTTATGATTTGAAGATGGAAAATTAAGGTTTGTGTGATTGTGATTATTATGGTTTGATTGTATTATGATTTTCTTCGTTATCAATGTTTGATGTTGATTATGATTTGATTATTTTTTTATAATTATTTTTATTATGGTTGTTTGAGCAACAATTATTTTTTAGACAATTTTTTAATTGTGTAGGATCCAAATAAAAATTTTGATTGTGCAAAAGCCATATAAGAAAGTAACCAACACATACAAAAATGTTTAATTGAAAATCGGATTAAATGGCCTCGAATAACCTGACTTCATTTTTATATGGATTATTTGGAGGGGTCCGAAACTTTTTAAGGGGTCGGGTCAATAAAGTCATTCCCTCTTATTTGGGTGTCAAGTATTTCGGATTGAAAAATCTGACTCGACCGTTGCTCACCCCTAGATATTGGAGCTATTCTTAATATTCCTCCTGGTTGGGGTCATGTAAAGGATAAAATGATACGGTAATTTTGTATGTTACTATTCAAAAATTTTGTTCATTCTCTTGAATTTGAACAAGTATCATGCTTTCACATATTCAAATTTAAAATTCTTTATACTATTAAATATTTTCTAAAATATATAACATATAATATCACAACAAAATAACCGCGTGATATGTGGACTTTCATCTAACAAAATTAATAAAAATTATCACATGAAGATGATCATTTTTATTATTGATTTCATTATAAAATTGCAAATAAGAAAGTTTTTTAAATAGTAATATACCTTATTCATAATAATTATTTAAATATATCAATTATGTATTATGATTGTAGCTTTTGCGATAATTACTATTTTTATAAATAATTTTTCTTGAATTATCATAAATTCTAGTTTCCTTTAGTATTAGAATTTTTGTGAAATTTAAGATTATAATTATTCTTTGAAAAATGAATTAATTTTAAATGGAGAAATTGCATTGAGAATGAAGAATTGAAACAAAAAAAAAAAAAAAATGAAAATCCAAACTAAAATTAAGCCGAAATTTTAATAAATAAACTGAACTTATTTCAATTCTAATTCTAATTTTAAAAATTTCAACCGTACTTCTCAACAAACAAAGAGAAAGCTCCCAAGTTATAATTGCTTTCAACACTTTGTATACAAATACAGTACTATTTTTTAAGAGTATTATTAGTATTATTATCATTGAGAAATACAGTACTAATACGTACAATTAAGTATTATGAAATTATTTAACGAAAATATGTTGCTGTTGTTGTTATACTCTTAACAAATATAGTTTTATGAGAAGATTCCAATCTCCAGACTCCAGAGTCCAGGGTTTGGATCTTGGACTGATACCCGTTGTCTTCCCTGGACTCTTCTCCATAATTGCTTCTCTTTTCTCTATCTTTTCTGTGTCTTTTTGTATATATAATCTTAATAAATCAAGAGAATCTTCTCCTAAAGTTTGTGATTTCTGCTTTAAATTAAAAAAATACAAAGAAGCTTATGAGGTATTCACAGTGTTTACCGTTTTCTTGATCTGAAATTAAATATAATTAGCGCCCATATCTAATTTCTTTTTATATTTACATATTATATATAATTAAAAAATACAAAGAAGCTTATGAAGGTATTCACAGTGTTTACCCGTTTTCTTGATCTGAAATTAAATATAATTAGCGCCCATATCTATTTCCTTTTTATATTTACATATTATATTATATATATATATATATATATTATATATATATAATATATATAATATATATATATTCTCATTAGCGACGCAAAGAAGGGTGTTGAACTGGTGGTGATAGTGACTGATATATAACTGCAATTGTAGGAGGGTGGTGACGTGCAGGGTGGAGAGTGGAGGCACAAGGGGCAGGTGTCTTAGTCGCAAGAGGCTCTGGTTTTCTTGTTTGGCTCTTCCTCTTTACTTTACTTTTCTTTCTGCTTAAGAATTTGAACTTCCATTTTTCTTGCTCATTATACCCACCAACCTTGCAATTTACATAGAAAATAATGGCCCTTTCTTCATTTTATATGATAATACCTGAAAGGACCCCATCAGACGGTTCTGTTCTTTTGGCTTTCTCACCTAGATAATTAAATAACCATTTCTTTTGTTTTTCTTATTATATTTCATTAGCGACGCAAAGAAGGGTGTGACTGGTGGTGATAGTGACTGATATATAACTGCAATTGTAGGAGGGTGGTGACGTGCAGGGTGGAGAGTGAGGCACAAGGGGCAGGTGTCTTAGTCGCAAGAGGCTCTGTTTCTTGTTTGGCCTCTTCCTCTTTACTTTACTTTCTTTCTGCTTAAGAATTTGAACTTCATTTTCTTGCTCATTATACCCCACAACCTTGCAATTTACATAGAAAATAATGGCCCTTTCTTCATTTATATGATAATACCTGAAAGGACCCATCAGACGGTTCTGGTTCTTTTGCTTTCTCACCTAGATAATTAAATAACCATTTCTTTTGTTTTCTTATAAACTTTTGACATCTGGTCTGCCTGTTTTTGTTTCCTTTTTTTCGATATTTGGCTTGTTTTATTCGATGTATACATGCTTTGTTTGGTTGATGGTATTGATGTACTGATCTGTTATCTCTGCCCAATAGTAGTAAGGGATCAAACTACTAGAATATTTGATTTATTGAACTGGGTTAGTAACTAACGGTTTGATTGATCTTTGATTTGTGCTCCTTCCTTCCTTTCTTTCTTTCAGGATATTTAGTCAGTTGTTAGTAGTCCTAGGTAGGTTGGATTCTTAGTTTCTGGAAAAGATGAGTGGAGCTGTGCTTGTAGCTGTTGTTGCTGCAGTTGGTAACTTACTGCAAGGATGGGATAATGCAACCATTGCAGGTAATTTTCCACTTTTGTGCGTGAAGTATGTTGTTTCTGTGTATGTTTAGCTATTTAAAGTTTTTTTCATAACAATTCTTTTGCTCGAATTAACTCGCATTTAGTTCTTCTAAATTAAGCGCGAGTATTTTTCTTATTAATATTCGTTGATATGAAAGGATCTATATCTCTCTCTCGATGCAGGGGCTGTTTTGTACATAAAAAGGGAATTTCAGTTGGAAAGTGAACCAACTATAGAAGGACTAATTGTGGCAATGTCACTTATTGGAGCCACTTTGATAACTACATGTTCTGGAGCCATATCAGATTGGCTAGGGCGGCGGCCTATGCTGATCATCTCTTCTGTACTTTATTGTGTTAGTGGTATTGTGATGTTTTGGTCTCCCAATGTCTATGTTCTACTTTTGGCAAGGCTGTTGGATGGATTTGGTATCGGTCTGGCTGTTACTCTCGTTCCAGTCTACATATCTGAGACTGCACCGCCTGAAATTAGGGGTTTATTGAATACTCTTCCTCAGTTCACTGGATCTGGTGGCATGTTCCTTTCATATTGTATGGTGTTTGGGATGTCCTTGACGAAAGCACCAAGTTGGAGATTGATGCTTGGAGTTCTTTCTATTCCCTCTGTCGCTTATTTGGCTTTGACTATATTTTACTTGCCTGAGTCTCCGAGGTGGCTTGTTAGTAAGGGACGGATGCTTGAGGCCAAAAAGGTTTTGCAGAGGCTTCGTGGCAGGGAAGATGTTTCTGGTAAGTTATTCTGCTTTTGTCTTTGGGAAGTTGTCTCTTTCTTTTTGTCTGGAATATAAATTGTAATGTGCTTGGTGTTTTGATGTATGAAAGTGATTTCTGTAGTATGCTTGATTATAGGTCGTACAATGTGCAATTGCATGCTCAGAATTTATTTTTAGTTAACAGCTTTCTCCAAAATAGAGCACTGATTAAAAATCTAGTTGTTCATTTCTAAAGGTTTTGTCATGAAAGAAAAAAAAAAAATTTTTCCTGTAGGGAGAGATGCATGCATAGCTTGGTGTCAAGTATAATATGCTGATCAAAAGCTTACTATTGGGTGATTTGGTTATCAAATCTAAAAGCTTGCTTCTTTTATGTTCTCCATGCTGCTTTTTTGAATAATTGTCTGTGGATATTACCCAAGCTTTTTGTATATCTGGGAGTCTAATCCATTTCTGCATTTGGATCACAATTCTCTTTGTCCTAGAAGACGTCATTTGTTTTTCTCTAGGTAATAACGAGTAGCTTGTAAAATCCTTAGTAATATCAAGAATGCATGATGTTTTGTCTCTATCTAATCAATGATGGATTCACGAAATGCTTGTGAAATATAAGCATGTTTTAAATTACAATATAGAGAAACAGAATAGAGAAAAATTATTACGTAGTTGACACTGACTGATTTGGAGTAATGCTTTCGTTTTGCAACATGAACTATGTCCAGATAAAGCTTTAAGAAGCTTATTTATACATTTTTTATTTTTATATTTCTTTAGAATAGAAGTAAATGTGTACTGAGAGTGCTACCATAGTGTTTATTCTAGTTATGCGCCAGGTCAATGGTAGCAGCGCGTATTATAACCAAATGACTAATGTGTTGATAACTTGATGCACACTAATTTTGTCAAGGTTCGCGTGACCAGAAACTTTATTGAGATCTTTCAGAAAATCCTTTTCTAGTTGTGGTCAAGCTTTTAATAATGGTCATTTTCTTGTGTTGCAATTTCCTTTTCAATTTGTGTTTTCTTTTTAAATAATTGAAGAGCATGTACCAAAACTCTTAATTGCTGATGTGACATATTTTTGTTATCAGAATATGTATATTTAAGATGAGGGAGGCAGGGGTAAATAGAAGTGCAATGAAATAATCCAGTTTTTCCTTTGCTTATTTTTCTACGGAGTTTCACTCATAAGAATAAACTATTTCAGATGCGAACATGAAAATTTGTTGAATACAACATATGTCACTAGCAATTTGAGAGTTCTAGCACTTGCTGTTCCAAGTTTACCTACAATTGACTTCGATGTGAAAGGTTATATAATCAAAACAATAATAAAGAATTGACTGTAATTGCACTTGCTGCTTACCTTTGGCTTGATATGATGATAATTTGATAATAACTACCATGTGGGTGATACTGATCTTGTTCAGCTGAACAGGTGAGCTGGCTTTATTGGTTGAAGGTCTTGGAGTTGGGGGTGAAACATCATTGGAGGAGTACATAATTGGCCCAGCTGATGATGTCATTGATGACCAAGATATATCTATGGATAAAGACCACATCAAGCTATATGGTCCTGAAGAAGGTCTTAGCTGGGTTGCCAAACCTGTCACTGGGCAGAGCACTATCGGTCTTGTATCTCGGCATGGGAGCATGGCAAACCAGACTGTGCCTCTCATGGATCCCGTTGTCACCCTTTTTGGTAGTGTACACGAAAAGTTCCCTGAGACAGGAAGCATGAAAAGTATGCTTTTTCCACACTTTGGCAGCATGTTCAGTGTGGGAGGGAATCAAACTAGAAATGAAGAATGGGATGAGGAAAGCCAAAACAGAGAGGGTGAGGATTATCCATCTGATGCTGGCGGTGCTGATTCTGATGATAATTTACAAAGTCCATTAATCTCACGTCAGACAACAAGCATGGACAAAGAATTGGTCCCACCTGCCCACGGAAGCCTTTCAGGCATGAGGCGTGGCAGTTTGCTGCAAGGAAATGCTGGAGACTCAGTTGGTAGCGCTGGGATTGGTGGTGGTTGGCAGTTAGCATGGAAATGGTCTGAGAGAGAAGGCCAAGATGGGAAAAAGGAAGGAGGCTTTAAAAGAATTTATTTGCATCAGGAGGGTGTCCCTGGTTCTCAACGTGGATCTCTGGTTTCTTTGCATGGTGGTGATGCCCCTGCAGAGGGTGAATTCATCCAGGCTGCTGCTTTGGTTAGCCAACCAGCTCTTTATTCCAAGGAGCTCGTGAATCAGCATCCCATTGGACCAGCTATGGTTCACCCATCTGAAACAGTGGCTAAGGGGCCTAGTTGGAGTGATCTATTTGAACCAGGAGTCAAGCATGCATTGGCTGTTGGGATTGGAATTCAAATACTTCAGCAGGTAACAAATAAAACTGCTATCAGCATTTTTCTCTCTTATAAAGTTGAAATAATCCTAGTTAACTGATCTTTGTAATATAGGCAGTTATGCTTCTTGTTGTCATCTGTTCATGCATTGTTGTTCAGTAATTCTTCTCTAGTTTCCCATTATGAATTTTACCCCATTCAGGAGTGTTGAATAAGATATGGATTGGGCCAAAGATACTCAGGCCATTTTGTGATCTCATCATGACTGATAGTATTGATCTGATGGGCATAATTGTCTTGTTTCTTTAAGTCAAGATTGTTGAGGGCTTGAGAAATAGGTTGATCTTCTATCTTCACAAGTAAATGTAGTGCTGGGGTCTGAAACAAAATATATGCTGCAGTGATCATCAAAATTTTACTTGGATCTTAGGGAAGGTTTGAAGGTTCTCTAAGCAAAATGATGAGAAGCTTGAATTTTCATGGTGCTGTTTAATTGGAGCTATGATCTTTTTATATGCATTTTACTTATTGTCTAGGAGCTAGAAGTTTACCTGCCATTCAAATTTTCTTTTAGGGATTTTTCCATTCTGTGTACAACATTTTATCTAAAGTGGTAGAGTTAAACAAATATATGCTGTAAGAATATTAGTCATTGGATGTCTACTTTTTTTTTCTCATGAAGTTTTTTCCAAACTTAATGGTAGAGTCTAATCTAAAGTGGCCAAGCACAAGCCTTAAAATATCACTTACCATCTCCAATGCAGGTGTGCATTTTAGTTTGTCCACATTTAATTTTTTGCTTGACAGTAGTATGGTGTTTCAAGATTCTGACTTACTCATGTAACATGCTTCTCAAGAATCTTATATACATGCAGTTCTCTGGCATAAATGGGGTTCTCTACTACACTCCTCAAATTCTTGAGCAGGCAGGTGTTGGAGTTCTTCTTTCAAACATGGGCATCAGTGCAGCTTCTGTATCTCTACTTATTAGTGCCATTACAACATTATTAATGCTCCCTTGTATAGCTGTTGCCATGAGGCTCATGGATATCTCTGGAAGAAGGTATTGCAACTTCTTTTTAGCCTTTAAAATATCGCTAGGCATCATCACACTACTTTAAATGCCCCAAATTGTTGTGAATGAGGATTGCATATGCATTTTTTTTAAAAGGCAATTTATTTGTATCTGGGTTCATTTCTTGTCCAAAGTTGTAGTATACAATTGGAATTTCAAAATGCCTTTAGGATTATTTCTTCTTCTTGCCTTTCTTATTTTGGTGGGCTCACATTTGATTTGTTTTGAATGGGGTGAGTTTGGGTTATACCAAGCAAGTTGACTTTGGAAATTCTTGCATCCAGGTGTTAGCATAGCTAATAAGATGTTCAAACATGGTGAGTTGGCACACTTATTAGAATTAAGGTTCAATTTTGCCCATGATCATTGGACATTTCACTAATTTCAGTATTGTTTCTAACCTTCAATTTGTGTACTCTAACTTTGATTTTGTTTCAATAAATACATTGCTAGATTTTTATACAATTGCTTCTTAAATTTTTGTATTATAACCAAGTATTTACTTTTCTAATATATTTGAAAATAAGCTTCGAGAATTTTTTTACGTGCCCAACACAAATATAATTTGGTTAGATCTCTGCAAAACTTAGCAGCAGTGATTTATTAAAACAAATTAAAGTTAATGGATTTTGCTGATAGAAATTGAGATTCATTGACTACTGAAATCCACTGATAAGTTAACACCATTTACAAGAAAATTGCAGTCTAGTCTCTTTGTATTGTATGTCATGAATATGCATGTGCATGCAAACACATCCTTAGAAATGCTATGCTAGCATGCACTTGTGTCTGAGCAGTGAAATTAATAAACATAGGTGAATTTGTCCTGTGTGCAAGAATTTTCTCTAATTGAGCTAGGGCTATGGATAAAATGGAACCTTCTCTTATGCTTGGTAAATGGTAAGCTTCGAAACTTCCATTGTCCTTTGCATATCCCATTTTATGGAATTTCTACAATAAAAGAAGGGGAGGGGGGGATGGGGCCGCGGGGTTTGAAGTAATGACAATCATGGAAGTAGCAATTATCAGCCCTCTGGAATTAAGATCACACCAGATGTTTGGTATCAAATGGTGGTCCACAGTAAATCTTACTTTGGTTTTGTTGTGCATTAATATTTTCATTTCTGATGTTATTCTTAACCACTCATCTGCAAATTCTTAATCACTCGTCTTGTTTGCAGGAGTTTGTTACTATGCACAATTCCTATCTTGATAGTCTCTCTCCTCATTCTAGTCCTTGGAAGTGCAGTGAATCTAGGCAATGTCGTGAATGCATCTATCTCAACTGCTAGTGTTATAATCTACTTCTGTTGCTTTGTGATGGGATTTGGGCCAATTCCTAACATACTTTGTTCAGAGATCTTTCCAACACGTGTTCGTGGCCTCTGCATTGCCATATGTGCCCTGACATTTTGGATCGGTGATATCATTGTTACCTATACACTCCCAGTAATGCTGAAATCTATGGGTCTTGCTGGTGTCTTTGGTTTGTATGCAGTTGTGTGCATCATATCGTTGGGGTTTGTCTACTTGAAAGTTCCAGAAACCAAGGGCATGCCCCTTGAAGTAATAACCGAGTTCTTCTCCCTTGGCGCAAAGCAGGCTGCAGCTGCCAAGAATGATTGACATTTAGAGTACCTTGTGATGAGAAGTTTTGACTTTTTCTAGTTGTTTTTTCATATGGATTTTCTTTTGTGTGGGGAACAAGAATTTATATTTTTTTAGAAAGAATGTGTATATTTTGCCATTGTTGGGTTTTGGTTTTCAAGACCTTCAAGTTTCATTTTTATTCAAATTTGGAAGTTCTCAATTATTTTTTTGTCATGATTGACTTGATGTGCGAGAAAAATACAAGGGTTTATGAGTAGAATTTTGTCTCTGTTTTAGATGCCTGTCGAACTAGGGTGATGATGCAACGGCAGAACTTAGAAATGACCTAATGAGCTGCTAGTTAATCATCAATCTGATCTTTATGTTTTGTTTAATTTCAAAATTCCCAATTTTTAACTCAAAAAATTTGAAATTTTTTGCAATAGTTTTTGAAGGCAAGGATTCTGATATGAGGTGTGCCTTTATTAATATTAAAGAGTATATTTATATATAAACCATCAATTATACAGAAGAAATATGTTGATTTTCACAGTTTGATCGCTTTCACATTCAACAAACTGCCCTTAGACTATACAATTAAAGCAGCTAAAGAACCATATAGCTATATCAACTAAGAAAGAGCATTTTATACAAAATTTAGAGGTGGGGGCTTAACTAATAATGCCTTTCTTAAGAACTGTCCCTTTGGATGCTGTGAGATCCACCAACAGACTCATCTTCCCTTGCATACCCATTTGATAAAGCATCCTCACGTTTTCTCTTTGATTTGCTCTTCCAGTCTTCAACCTTATCATCGGCAAACGACAAGAATGTTTGAAGACGTCTAGAACGAGAGCTCCTATGGATAGAAGGATCTGAATCTATAGGGAAGTGCTTTCTAAACTGGCGTAGCACCTTGCACAAGTAGATCAAGAGAGCAAGAAAACATGCAATCCCGCAGATGAGGAAAAGGCCCCAGAAACTTTGTAGCTCTAGTTGTTCCGTGCCAGAGTCACCGGTGCTTGAGGAACTGCAGGCTTTTCTTACAAGCCACTTGTCATGAATCTTTTGAAGATCACCATTCTCAGATAGAGTGAGAATTGCAGTTGACATATCAACAGCTAAAGGAGAATCTCTAGGAAATGCCTAAAGAATGCACATGAGAAGAAAAATTAAAATGGCCTAGCAGACCATCTTACTTGAAAAAGAGGCCAAAAAAATAAAAATATGCTGTTCAAGAAATCAAAGGTAGTAAAAACTTGCGCAAGAACCGCAATGAAATAATAATAATAAATACATAAAATATGATAACTACTATAATTACTTTATAACCAACCAATTTTGGAGGTCTATTATTAGAATCCCTATCAAACCAGCATACTTCTTTGAGTTCCCTTTCCCCCATTTCAAGAGCATGGACTCGACAACTTATTATAGGTTTTTCTAGATGTTTTGGTTGCCTGAAGGCAGAAGCCATAAAATGGAATGACCAAACATTCCCTGAGGTTGGATAATATAACTCAAAGCAGCCTTATCCCAGCTACATGAGGCTTGGTAGACATTTTCTTAGTCAATTCAGTCCATTTTCCCTTTATTCATCCTAGACCTTCATTATATACTTTTCATAGACTTCTTTGATTTTGTACTCGAACAAGATCAACATTATGGAATTCAGAATTAGCTAAAATTTCAGGTTATGACAAAGTGCTAACAAATTAACTTGATTGAGCAAGGAACATAGACACAAAGACTTGAAATTAACTAATTCCAATTTTGAGATACTCACAAATCCCCATCCACTTTTGGTGAATGCTTGGCCTCTGATTGAGCACTCGCAATGCTCTGAGAGGAAGAGGTCCACATAAGGTCGTTCATCAACCACGGCAGCAACAGTTCTATTTGTAAGGGCACTAGCATATTCTTCAGGTGAGCCAAGAGCAACAAGTCTAGTTTTAGCTATGCCGAGTTCATCGGTCAGATAATTTTCTGCAAAGGACCCCACTTGGAATCCGATATGTTCAGTGCTTGTTATCAAGGTATCAATTCCTTTAATGGGTGAGGATAACTGTTGGACAGTCAAGATTGATGTCAGACTTGCAGTATAGCTTGAGTTTATTATCAAAACAACAAAAAGCCAGATGATGAGCACCAAACGACCAAGTGTGCTCACTGTATTTTCTCCTAAAAATTAAATGAAACCCAGAGTTAGTACCATTTTTTAGGTTGATAATAACTCTATCTAGAAATAATGTATTGGAAGTTGAAATGGAAAAATAAAAAATTTAAAGAAAATAAAAAAAACTTACTATGAGCAAAAAACATGGTCGAGAAGCTAAACCTGCAATGAAAAGAAAAGGAAGGAAAGCTTTATTCCTTTGTGGAAGCAGTAATAATGGAATGATTCAATTCCATATCATTTTGGCATGACAATTATGCAGCACAAATTTCCCCCTATCTAGAGACAAGAATGCTCAACTGATTTTTGTTTGCAATTCTGATCTTACTCTACAGAGTCTAAACTCTCATTTAGAGTTTATCTACCATTCTAGTCTTCACATGTAATCTCTCTTTAAGTGTTCTCAATAAAAAAGCAATCTTATTTCTTGTTTAAAAGTCCAACTTCTGGTGGATTTAGGATAGGTTTAAGTCTATAAAAATAAAAATGCTTTGCAGTGTTCTATTTTTATTTGGAATAAGGAATATCAACTGAACAAAATTTTTAACTGTGTTGCAATCATAGTGTCTAAGCCAAGGCGTGATGTCAACAAGATTTTTTTTTTTCTTTTTTTAGAAAATCTAGAAAAGCCAATAGGACCTTATGGTTGTGCCTGCTTCTAGCATTTGACAAGCACAACTGTTTGTTTTATTTAAATTACCAGAGATTCGAAAGATAGATAAAGAATACACAACAGTTTAATATAACTTCATAGTAGTATATGCTAATAATACAGATATCCTTGTCTTATACTATAATTTGCAAGGTATCCAGACGATACTTTTTCTAGTTCATTCAAAAAGCTAGTAATTTTTCACTTGTATGACAATTTCAATGACTCTTAACACGAGTTAAGCTATGAAGTATCGGACTGCCAACTTATCCTCTAATCATCCTCTAATAATCATGTATCAACTGATATATGTACTAAAACATACGTGAGCCATTGTCTAATCCATAAAATTACTCACCATAGAATAGTGACAACTTGCTTCTTTGGTGGCCCCCGGAACTCCTCATTCATTCGATGTTCAAGGATCCATATAACAGCTCCCACAACAAGGAAGGAAACTGCCGTAACAGCCCACATCAAAGGAGTAAATGGTTGCAAGAATGCCCAAGCATTTGAATTCAAATGCTTGACTGGAGCCACTACAACTAGCCCTGACTCTATGTATGGCTGGGTGAAATCCACGACCTTTGTTCGGTTTGTGACAATTGCCACATCTCCAATTACAGCATCAAAGACCTGCAGGAATATATTTACAAGATCAGATGAAGCTACACCCGCTCCTCCCTACTTTGGCAAAATAATCTATTGATATTCTTTTTCCTTTTCAGGGTATATTTACTCGCACCTAAGGTAATCTGGTTTACGAGCTCAAAGTAGCTTGGATTCTTATGACCATCTCCAAAGGGAATGAACTTGTATGGAACTGCATAAGGAAGAAATTTTATGGCAGCAAGGAATACATCTATGCAATATCCTTGGACTGCATCAGTACCATTAACTGTTGAGACAAAATCCCGATAACTAACCCGGTTTGGAATTCCAATTTTCAATTGTCTTCCATTGTCTGGAAAAACCCATCCACGAGGTTTATCTGTTACTCCTCCAGGCCACACAACAGGAAGCAAATGTTGGTTGGAGCTAGAACGGTTAGCTGGTTTTCCATAAAGTGTCTCTGGGGGCACAACAGATAGGCCAGAGTAGTTAGACCAGTATCCAATGAGCTTACACCCGGTTTCAATCACATTAATGATATCATAAGAAGGATATAAAAGAGACCTGTCTGTCCTAAATTGAACAGGTCCTGTCAGACCTGTCATATTCGACCTCAATATGTTTTTAACCAATTGGTTTCCTCCATCAAAAATGCTTAATGCTCCAAGATTCAGAGTCCCACCGCCTAGATCACTTAATTTTGAATCATTGGAAAATGAAATGTTGTTGCCCTGATCTAAAAACAATTTCACAGCACGAGCAACCATCCAAACAGTGTCGTAGGCATACAGACCATATGGGTTCAGCCCTATAGAGTCATTGCTCAATTTGCTCCACCGTGACTCAAAATCGCGTTTTCTTTTTGAATCTGGTATGTGTGGACGAAGAGTAAGAACTCCTTGGATAGTATTGGCAGTCTCAGAAGAAAATTTTGAATCTAGAACAGTGGACAGCCATGTGGTAGATATCCAAACAAACCCATTTCCCATCATCCCAAGACTCTTAGCCACATCAAAAACCAAGAGGCCTGTTCTGGAGAAAGTGCTTAAAACAATTACTCGAGACTCCATGCTTAGAATCTTAACTAATTCGTCATGAACTTCACTTCGGTTTGAGAGTGGATCTGGGGGAAGCACTGCTTTATATGAAATTTTGCATCGTCTCTCTGCAAGTTCATCACCTAATGCAGTTATACCATTTCTACTCTGATCATCATCACTGAAAACTGCAATAACCTCAGCCCAACCATAATAACTAACAGTTTCTGCAATGGCAGTCATCTGGAACAGATCATTGGGAGCTGTTTGAAGGAAGTACGGATACTGGAGAGGTGACAGAGTGGGGTCTAAAGCTGTAAACGACAATAGTGGAACATGAAGCTCATTTGCAAGATGCGAGAGTATACGTGCCATTACAGAACTTTGTGGGCCAATAATAGCAACAGTATCAGTCTCCATAAATTGCAATGCTGCAATTAGTGAAGAAATATGATTCCAAAGCATATGAATATCACAGGAAAAATAAGAAAAGAGTGATACATCCAAGTAAAACATATAACAAATATCAAATAGAACAAGGATAAAATGGTATAAGAACTCTGCAGAGAAAGAAAGCATACCACCAATGATACCCAGAAATCCACTGTAGTTAGAATCATGCATAGTTATAGACAACTTCCTTCCTCCAAGAATGCTGGGATCGGAATTGATATCATCCTCAGCAGCCTTCATGGCAATCTTTGAAACTCTCCCATTAATGGTACTAAAACTGAAAATAGCTCCAACATTCACAACATCAGAGTTTCGAGCTCCATGTGAAAATGTAATGATGCAGACAAGGAAGAACACAAACCAAACCAAATTCATGGTATTATCCACCTGATTATTTGAACACCTATCTCCAAAGTGAAAGCAAGAAAGAAGGAGTAGGAAAAAACACCAGAAAATCAAGATGAAATTAGATAAACAATATGAATTGAGTCATAAGCAACTAATTAAACTATAGTAATAGTAACTTCTATGACAAGGTATTGGAAACACTATGATAAGAACCAGCACAGAATCTATGATAGAAAAGGGAGGCAAAAACTAAATAAATAAATAAATGGCAGCATAACCTTGTCCAAGGAAGGGAGTACATATAACGTTAAAAGAATTAAAGTTTCAACGTAAGGAATCAATTAATAGTACTTTATCAAATTAAAAAAAAAATCCAAAATTGGTCTTGTAGAATTCCACATTGGATAAACAATTAAATACCCATCAAGAACAAGCAAGCAGAAGCAAAGAATTTCAGGGAGTCGAGAAGAATAAGCACTCACCTCAAAGGCAAAAGAGAATACTACTAAAGAAAATAATGGCAGAAACTGAGACACAGGGACACCCATCCTACAAAAGAAATAGCATTTAATTAGTAAAAAGAAGAAAGACTGCTACTGAATGGAGGAGAGGAAAATATAGTTAAAAAGAAAGGAATGAAAATGGGTGTGCGCCTTACTTTCCATTATAATAATTAATAAGAACTAGAATACTTGAAAATGGAGAAAGGGAAAAACTTAGTGAGTTGGGTTTCCACCAAATATATGTTGAGGAAATCATTTTTCTGGACCTTGGTGCTCACTCTTCAACAAAAAAAATAGCGTAGTGGTGGTTCCTTTCGGATAATGGAGGAGAAAATCATGAACGCACCTTACCAGGAAAAAGGAGCAAATAACATGGAATACTTAAATAGCCAAAGCCAAGATAAGACAGCGATTGACTTGCTAAACCGAAATAACTCACGTTTCTTTAGTGATGTAAACTTTTTTTTCTGATTTGCTTTCTCTTTCATTTGTTTTGTTTTTGGCCGAATATATAATCCCTGTCTTGAACTTTGTTATTTTAATTTTTTGCCAATGGTTAAATATATCTCTCTATTTTGTGAAAAAAAAAACTGTTATAAACTCTAAACTTTACAAATAATTTATTGTGCCCTTGAAATTACGAATTCTATTAATATTGTATCTCTTTTTATACGATCAGTAACATTTTTTGGTGTTTTTAGCATCTATGTGCAAGATATTCACTTAATATATGGTTAAGATAATATTCGGAATAATAATTTTCACATTTTTAACTATTTAATAAGTGTTTACTTAATTTAATTTTAGAAGTCTGAGTATTCAATAGAATAATTTTTACAAATTGACGTATTTAATTAGTACAATTTTATAAATTGAAGTATTCAATAAGTCAAAGTAAAAGTTGAAGGTGCTACAAGGTTTTTCACGTAAAGTATTCAATAGAAGTTTGAGTATTCAATAAAATAATTTTTACAAATTGAAGTATTTAATAGGTCAAAGTAAAAATTGTTGCTACAAAGTTTTTCACGTAAAGTACAAGGATGAATTTATGCATTGGGCCTTTAATTTTTTTATACATTCAACTTTTAATTCAATTCATCAAACAACTCAATTTTATAAGATTATGTAAGATTATTTTAGTTAAACCTATAGTAAGCCTAACTATAACTAAGCCTAATCATTAAGCCTAACTATATGTAAGCCTGATCATCAAGTCAATTATATGTAAGCCTAATCATCAAGTCAATTATATGTGCATACATTCCACATGACATCCCAAGGCTAGTAAGACTTGCTAGTCTAGGGCTTGCCAGGCGTAGGAAAATATTGTCTGTTTTTAGCCAAACTCACTCAGACACTTCGTAGCCCAAAATGACTCTTACTAGCCCAAAATGCCTCTTACTAGTTTAAGACTTGCCCATTTTTATATATAGTATTTTCACCTTGTGCTTAACCCATGTGGAATTTACTTAAGGTGAGCTAACATCTCAAGCCAGCGCCTCTTCATATGCGGATGTTACATGACAAGCCCAATATAACTTATGAAATTACAAGTCCATATGCCATATAAATAATTAACAAGTGCCATAATTCGTCCTATATTCATAGATATAAATCATGGCCCAAAAATGCATACTTCAATATCATTTACAATTTGGCCTATCCATGACATAATAACATCACCTTGCAATAATAATATGGACTTGTCACCTTATATCATTCAAGTATAGTTTTATACCCATAAATATATTATTGAGAAGGGTTAATTATAAATTTATTGTCTCAACTTTCTGAAATTTTTATTGTGATGTCTCAACGAAAAATATTTGCAATGAAATATTTAAATTTATTAAAATTTTTCAATTGAGTGTCGCATGTTTATATGGCAAGCCAAAATTACAAATAGGAGATATGGGCCCACTTGGCATATTAAATGTGTTAATTAGACATTAAATGGATATGCCACGTCAGATTCAGATGTTAAAAACATGATGAAAGAGTCTACTATTATTTAGTTGCCATTTAAGTGTATCTTTAAGGAAAAATGAACAGACTATAACATTAATTGATCTAGAGTTTAAAAATTGATAGCCTAAATTAGAAATCACAAAACATGGTTTCAAAATCTCCCATACAAATTCCATTTGTTTACGATTTCACTGCTGAAAACATTGCACAAAAGCTAAGAATGTCAATTGCAAGATATTTATGCAAGTGAGGATGGACAATTACTTTGCAATTTCTTCATCATCAGGCTCCCATGAGGCAAGAACAGAAGTAGGATCTTCTAGCAAGAAATTAGAAAGCTCTTTATAGTTCCTAACATTCTTTGTATGTCATTATCATAATATCCATTGGAATCACTTTGTCTCGCTGCAACTTTTTCTTCTCTTCCAATGGTTTAGCAAAGAATTGTCTTGTTGTCTTCCTTATTCTTTCACATAGCTCTAACACTCTAGTTCAAATTTCATATATATACTTAAAAATCAGTTCAAATGCAACTAAGAAAAAGTAAAAAGGAACAACAAATTTCAATTAAGTAAAGTAATTTTTACATATAAAATTGAAACAAACATGCAATACCTAGAAAAAAAAAAAATCAAACTAAAAACCCAAAAGAGTAAACTTCATTAATCGTTTTCGAACAATATAGAAAGCTTAAAATTTAAACCATAAAATTATTAGCAGTAATCAAAAACAAACCCGCTAAAGAATAAAAATTTTCCATTTTGATTAACAGAAATTAACATAAAAACAAATATAGGAATTAATACCTTAAAAAATGGCTAGAATTTTTAAAGACCGAATAAGCATAAAATCCAATCTAGTCAAACAAAAATCCAAACACAAAGCTCAGAAGATTAGTTATGGTTAATAAGAAGAGAGACAGAAGAAATTTTAGTCTTTGGATTTTTCTTTTTTTTTTTTTTCTTCTTTTGTCTTTTAATTTTAGTTTTACTGCATCTATTCAGGGGGAGCAAAATACATGTTCTAATTTGCTCTATTCTAAAAATCTTTTGGCATGATTAGAACTTATATGCATAAAATTATAGGAATTAAATACCTTTAAAAAAATGGCTAAATTTTAAAGACCGAATAAGCATAAATCCAATCTAGTCAAACAAAAATCCAAAACACAAAGCTCAGAAGAATTAGTTTATGGTTATAAGAAAGAGAGACAGAAGAAATTTTAGTCCTTTGGATTTTTCTTTTTTTTTTTTTTTTCTTCTTTTGTCCTTTTAATTTTAGTTTTACTGGCATCTATATTCATGGGGGAAGCAAAATAATGTTCTAATTTGCTCTTTCTAAAAATCTTTTGGATGATTAAGAACTTATATTGCATAAAATTCAGGGGGAGCACATGTTTTTTATGTTTGCTAAATTTATTGTTTTGTCATCATCAAAAAGGGGGAGATTGTTGGCTCAAGGGTTAATTTTCTAAGTCTCGGATTTTGAAATATTAATTCAAAACAAATAATTTAATAATTATTTTTTGTCTAATTTTATTTTATGCAGAATTTCTTTGGAAAGAAATCGTACAAGGCAAGAACCTACATTGAGTGTGAAAGATTCGAAGAAACCTAGTAGCTGATATTTAGGATATTATGTAGGACAGAGAGAAAAATCCATATATGAGCACAAAATCTTTTTCTCTCTCAAAAATATTTTTCGGAAAAAATTAGTTTTCTTCAAATAATTTATTTTCGAAAAATATTTTCGAAAATATTCCTTTAAATCGAAAAGATTTATTTTCCTAAAACTAAAGAGATTTCTTCTCTTAATGTTTTTGGTAATACAAATCACTCTCTTTTCAGAAATATATTTTGAAAGATCTAATACACTTAAAATTTTCTTACCTTAAAAACGAAAGAGAATCTCTTTCGGTTTTAGTAAGAGTATCCTTCCGCAAAAATATCCTTCCAGAATAAACGCTGTCGAAAATCTTTTCTAAAGGAAAGTGAAAATCGGGTTTTATTCTCTTACAAAAAATTCCAAAAAGGGATAAAATAATTTTTGGTAACAAAGATTTTTCAATATCTTCTTAAATAAGGAAAGAAGATAATTCTGATTTCAATCTCTTTCCAAAGGCGAACAGCTTCTTTGGCTTCCTATAAAGGAGACGTTCACTCGCCTTAAACATTTGGTGAAGTAAGAGTTGTTGTTTTAAGAGAACTCCTCTCATTGAACGAATCTTTATCTCTCAAAACTTAGTAATCTCTACCCCCATTTTCTTTTCATCTCTAAATCTCTATTCTTAACGTTTTCAATATTTGAAGTGAAAAGAATTTTTACAATTACTTTTGAAAAACAATTCTGTGTTCTAATCGATTTTCTAATCTAATAAAATTGTTTTTCCTGTGCTTATATAGGCGTTTCTTTTTGTCTATTTAGAATCTGTATTCTATAGTAGACAGGCTCTTTATTTTGTTAAACTTTTGAGTGTAATAGCTTAAGTGAGAAGCTATTGAGATAGAGGTTATCAAGCGACCTTCTCCATGTGTGGGATAGTAATGTCTTGAATCGAGTTTTCTGTATTCTACCAAAAACAGAAAGGGTTGAGGTTACTCTGCTAAAAACAAAAAGGATTGAGGTTAACTAGAACCTTTGGAAAATGTAGTGGGACAAAGGGTAGATCTAGGAGTTGATCCATTGCCTTGTACTATTGCTTTGTCTCTTACCCTTGAAAAGAGATAACATAGTTGAGGACTAAAGATGAGTCTTGAGGAGTGGATGTAGGGGAGTTAGTGCCGAACCACTATAAATCACTGCAAATACATAATATAAGATATCTGATATATATAAAACGTGCCTGGGTTGATCTGTCATCCTATTTTATCGCACTCTCTGGTCTTAATTTTCTTAGGAAATTCACGCTTGACTAAATGTTTTTAAGTAATCCAGTATATTTTTTCTAAGACGGGCAAAGGTCTTATCTTATTCTGAACATTAAAACTCTGGTATTCTATAAAGTCGGAATATACAATGTTCTAACTATTGTTCTATTGCCCGAGTTTATATTTTGCGATTCTGTTTTTAGTATTTATATACAAATTTTTTTTCTAAAACTTATGAGGATGTTTCTATTAACCGTTTCACATCGACACAAAGTTACCATTACAAATCTGTTTGCTATTAAAGTGCTCTTTGTGCACACACCTGTGCTCTGTAGAATATTTCTAAATAAACCTATTCTTTCAACATAGCTTAAGATGGCGTGTTTAAAAATAATCATTTTCCCTGAGAGATTATTCTCTGATTCACTTCTCCTTCTAGAATAGAAGAAGAATGATTATGTAATTAAGTCAGTGTAAAAAGCTGTCTAAATTCATAGCAGCTGCA